TCCAGAAGACGCAGCAGCCAGCCAGGTGAGGCCCAGGCTTCCTCTGGGGGGAGGCTCAGACCGGGGGTGCCAGGGGCCACTGACTTCCTCGGCTCTCCTGCCTTCCTCAGGTACTCGCTCACCCCCGGGGGCCTGGAGCTATCCCAGAAGCTGGCAGAAGCCGAAGATAGCCTACGGCCAAGATCCACCCAATCCCCTGGAAAGGAGGCAGGAGCTGGGCCCCGAGAAGCCGCGGTTCAGCTGTGAGTGCCGCCCCTGCCAGGGCCAGTGCCACATCTGTGGCCTCTGCCAGGCAGCCACCCTCTTCCTGACACTCCTCCCCAACCCCCATCAGAGCCGCAGAGGAGGGGGTGGCGGTCTTAGCTCCTCTTCCCAGTCCCCTGTGTCCCCACAGAGACACCAGGACCCAGGCTCCGGAGCCGCCCCTCGAGCTGGGGCCAGGGGACTACAGGATCCTCTTGTGTGTGGATGTCAGCGAGACCACAGGGTGAGGGCAAGGAGGCGGGCAGGAGGGAAGCTGTGCCAGGGAGTGCCAAGGGCTGCGTGTGGGGGCACAGACTCCATTATTCACTAGATGTTGGCAGTGTCCCTGAACCACCCTGAGTGTTTCTTTCATCCAGCCTTAAAACGCCCCCAGCCCTGGCAGGCCCTGTCCTAAGCACCCCTCCCATCTCTGGGGTTCCCTGTCACAAGGCCCCTCCCAGCTCTTCTGCCATAGAGGGTGTGCTGAGGGCTGTTGTGTCTGTGCCTACAGGGGCAGCCATCGACCAGAGATCCTAAGGCAGCTGCAGCGCCTGGGCGTCCCTCATGACGTACGGAAGCTACACGTCGGGGATTTTGTTTGGGTGGCTCAGGAGACCAGGCCAAGAGTGCCGAGTAAGGCGGGGGGGGGGGCACATGGGGTGGGGGAGGGGTACATGGGGGGAGGGGGGGGGATGAGGACGGGGACGGCAGCAGCAGAGCCAGCGAAGCCCCTGCCCCCAGCCCGGCCTGGAGAGCTCGTCCTGGACCACGTGGTAGAGCGGAAGCGTCTGGACGATCTGTGTAGCAGCATCACAGATGGGCGCTTTCAGGAGCAGAAGGTACGGAGAGGCTCTGGGCCTTCCAGGCCTGCCTGAGACCACCCACGGGCCCTGACTTCTCTGTGCCCATTCAGCTCTAAATCTGGAATCATTTCTCCTTTGGCCGGGTTTGAATCCTGATTCTGACGTGGTTTGGCCACAGGCCTTTGGGCAGTCCACTTGCAATCTCGGGCCTCAGTTTCTACTGAGCACATGGGACGTGGCAGGGAAAACCCTGCAACCTGAAACCCAGAGAGAAGTGGGGGAGGGGGGGCAGGGGAGGCTCCCAGGCTTGACCTTGCGGCCCCAACTTCCCCAGTTCCGCCTAAAACGCTGTGGCCTCAGCCACAGGGTGTACCTAGTAGAGGACCACGGCTCTGCCCACAGCCTCAGCCTCCCTGAAAGTACCCTGCTGCAGGCTGTCACCAACACACAGGTGAGGTGGGGGAGGGCAGGGGGCCCAGGGCTCTTGGGGAGCCACTGGCAGGACCCTCACCACCCCCACTAATAACCCCTGCCCCTTCTCAGGTGATTGATGGCTTCTTTGTGAAACGCACGGCAGACCTAAGGGAGTCTGCTGCCTACCTGGCTCTCCTCACCCGAGCTCTGCAGAAACTCTACAAGGTAATGAGGGGCTGCCACTGGTCAAGTGGGGGGGCCCTCGTGGCCTGGAAGGGCCCATCCACGGCTTTTTCTTTGTTAGGGTCAGACTCTGCAGTGCCGACCATGGGGGGATGAGGGAGACCCTAGGCCTAGGACCCCACGCTGCTCCCTCTTCACCTTCAATGACTTCAATGAAGGGGCCATGAAAAACAAGGTGAGCCCCCTTCCCCCGTCCCTGGTCAGGGCTCCCCCACTCCTGCCCTTCCCCCTGTCCGTGATTTTCCCCCCCCCATGTCCTTTCCCTGGTCACAGTTCCCCATCCCCGCCCTTCCTCCCCTGGCCCCCCAGCCTGTAGGGCTTCCTCCTGAGATGCCCGCTTTCCCCCCCCTCCCCACCAGGCCCAGTCTGTGAGAGAGGTGTTTGCTCGGCAGCTGATGCAGGTGCGAGGGGTGAGTGGGGAGAAGGCTGCGGCCATGCTGGAGAAGTACAACACCCCCGCCAGGTAGGCAGGCCAGCAGCGCCCGCCCGCTGCCACCCCCCTTCCTCTTCCTTTCTGGGCTGACTCGCTCTCCCCCCTGGAAGGTTCGCGGCTCGTGTTCTCCTGATGTAGTCTGCTCTGGAGGGACAGCCTTCGTTGCTTCCTCAGTCGCTGATGGAAGACGGCCATGCAGCCTCTGTCTAGGTGACCTCAGAGGATCTTTTAGTAGCCTTCCATCGAGAGGTGTCTCCTGAGGGGTTCCCGCTTCCTAGCTCTGTGACCAGCCTCAGTGTACCCATCAGTAAAATGGGGACTTTTATCGTCCTCATAGGGTGGTCGTGGGAAAAGCCCTCTGTGGTAAACAGTTACAGAAGTCACGTGAGATGTTGTCAAGGTGATATCAGTCAGTCAGTCAAGTTTGTTGGGTCCCTTCTCTGTGCCCAGCACTCCCCAGAGAACAGAATGAGCCCTGCCCTCAAAAGGCTTGCAGTCTAAGGGAGGAGGCAGCATACAGGTCTGTGGTTACATGGCAGACTCCCACAAAGCTGTGCCTTGATCCTCCTGGGAGGGGAAAAGAGCCAGGCATCCTAGGAGGGAGAGGCGAAGTGGCGTGGAAAACAATAGCCGGTGAGGTAGGAGAGGGAGGCCTGTCTAGTGGGACTGGAGAGTGCCCAGAGGCCTTTCAGTGCCCACCAGGGGGCTCTTTCCATGGGGACCTGGAGAGGATGCTTTTGGAAGGCCATGGTTTGGAGTTCAGGTCAGAGATGCTGAAAGCCCACCCCCCAGATCCGGTGGGGTCTGGGCCAGGAGAAATCTGGGGGCTGAGTGACAGGGAAGAGCTGAGGACAGTACATGGGAAAATGCAGAGGGGAGGCTTTGGGGGATGCGCTGATTCCAGTTCTAAATGTTCAGGGAGCTTGGGGATGGGTATGAGGGGTAGGAGAGAGGAGAGCTAAGCTGAGAGGATTGTGGGTCTGTTTCGCCTGCAGGTGGGAGCTGAGTGTAGGAGAGGAGAGCTCGGGCTGGAATCTTGGGCAGCATAGCCGGGGTGGGGGGGGCGAAGATGGAGGAGGATCCAGCCTTAGAGGGTGGGAGAGAGCAGGGATGAGCACTCGTGTCGGAGGTTGGGGAGGGGTCCTCCATCCCTGAGGACGGAGAAGAGGCCGTTGGATTCGGTGATTAAGAGCTCACTAGTAACTGGTGGAATGACGAGACTAGGCTTCAAAAGGGAGTGGAGAGGAGGCAGAGGCAATGTAGATGGCTTCTTCTATGATTTGGCCATGAAAGGGAAGAGAGATTTATGTCAGCTGACTGGGTGATGAGGTCTGCTAGAAGCTTTTCTGGATGGGGGAAGCCGGACATGGGGAAATGAAAGATGAAGTTTGCTGATTGAAGGTGGGTCTGTCTGCTGGAGGGGGTGGCCTTGGCTTGAGAAAGGCCACATTTCTGGAGGCTGGAGTAGAGGAGGGAGTTTGGTAGGGGTCAGGTCATGGGGTTCTCCGATAGAACTGGGGAGATTGAGGGTGGCACGGAAAATGGGTTTGATTTCCTTGATAGAGTAATGAGAGGTAGGCTCTCATCTGTGAGTGGAGGGAAGGGAAGCTCTGGGAAGCCCAAGGAGAGAAAAACAGAATCAGTGAGAAAAGAGCAGAAGAGCCTGGGAGGCAGGCAGTACTGACACGGTTATCCAGATTTTACAGAAGGGGAAACCAAGTCTGACAGGTTAAGGGACTCTCCCACAGTCACGCAGTTTGTGTCAGAAGTGGGATTTGATCCCTCTCTCTGCCCACCAGTCTCAAGGCCCCTGGTGGTCTCTGCCTCAGCTCTGGCAGCTTGGACAGTTGCCCAGAGGTTGAGGTCAGTCTCCCTAATTAGACTGTGAGTCCCCTGGGCACAGGGATGGGGCCTAGCACTTCTCTGCCCACCCCCTGGCAAGCCAGCCTTGGTGGGAAGAGGATCCCAGCTGTACTGAGAGATGGCAGCCCTTGGGGGAGGGGGTGCCGCACCTCTGCCGCCCAGCTTTTCAAAGGCTGTCTTTCCCATCTTGTGCTCAGCCTCGTGGCTGCCTACGATGCCTGCACCAGCCCCCAGGAGCAGGAGAAGCTGCTCAGCTTCATTAAGTGTGGACGCCTGCAGAGGTGAGGGCCGGGGGCTGCCGGCGGGGAGCAGGGCGGGCAGCCTTGGCCAGGCTCCCCAGTCACCTTCTCTCTCCCCTCCTCTTCCAGGAACCTGGGCCCAGCCCTGAGCCGGACCCTGTGCCAGCTTTATTGTACCCCTGGACCACTGCCCTGAGCCCAGCCTGGAGGAGACGTGGCGCAAGGCCCAGTGATGGGGGCGATTGGACAATTTAATAAAAGTCTCAGACTGCCTGGTTGTCGAGTCCGCTGGGGGTGGGTGATCACTGACAGAGCCGCGGAGCTGCCCTCCATCCCTGGGCCTCTCGGCCCCTGGAGGACAATACTGATGAGGCACCTATGTAGAGGCTGGCTGTTGAGATGCTTCTCATCCCCACAGGGGGTCCGCCTGGACTAGGCCCAGTGCCTGGGGGTGGCTGAAGGGGGTCAGGCAAGGCCTCCTCTGAGGCCCCTGCTTCTGGCAACAAAGCTGGGGCTTAGCTGGGAAAGGGGCACCCTTGCGGCGATGAACAGACCTGGGCTTTTCTGAGCCTGCCCCTAACAGAAGAACCACAGGACCAGGGATGGGGTAGGAGGGTCCTGGCTTCTCCTTCCTGGTCTGTTCCTAGCTGTGTGTCCCTGGACAAGTCCCTTTCCCTGTCTGGTCATCCTTAGAGGGTCTGGTTTTTCCTTCCGCACCGTGGGGTCCCCACACCCATCACTCCTGTCAGATTTTTCTCTTTTTATTGATTTTTCTCTATTCCCGAACAGCTTCTGATGTTTTCACAGGGAAGCCCCCCCCTTCCCTCCCCCAGGCCCCTAGAAGGCATAGGCTCCCACAAAAACAGTGAGCCTGAGCACAGAGCTGGCCCGGTAGCTCATGAGGGAGTTCATGGTGACCATCTCCAAGTCCAGGACGTACTCTCGAGGCCCCGTGACGGGTCTCGCGAGAACCAGCATTGCGCTAATGTTGTTGATTTGCTGTAAGGGAAGACAGAGCTCAGACCAGGGGGACTGGAGCCCTCCCCTCCCACAGTCCTGGGGCAGAGGACCCCCCCGGCCCAGCCCTCGGGGCTCAATGTTGCCCATTCTCTGTTCTAAGGTTCCACTGCCCTTCCCAGACTTCTGGTGTTCTAAGGCCCTTCCATCCCTTGGCCTCCAGCTTCCCTCTACCAGAGTCCAGACTCCCTGGGATACTCTTCCGATAACAGCCCTGCCCCCACAACTCGCTATCTGAGGGGCAGAGGGGAAAGGGCTCAAGTTCCTTTATATCTCTGGGCCTCAGTGTGCTCATCTGTAAAACGGGCGAATTGGATTCAGTAGCCAGCCCTAGACCTGTGATCCTTCCCGAGACCGTTGGTTGGCCTGCCTTCACGGCCCGTCTTCCTCAGCTACCACTAGCCCACTCATCCTTCAAGGCCCAGCTCCTGTGCCAGACAACAGTCTTAACCTCCTAAAGTCCCTGGGCTCAGATTCTGGGCCAGAAACTGCCTTGTGTTCTCAGATTGTTTCACTGATGTGTTCTATCCCTCTGGGTTGGGGATTCTGCCTGTGTGTTTACCGGCTGGGCCTTGAGTTCTCTGAGGGGAGAATGGAAAGGGAGGGAGTCTTTGGCCTGAGAGATCAGGCCCCAGCAGATAGGGAAAGGCTGGCGATCTCACAACAGGACATCCCCCCTCCCTGGTGGGCCTGCTCTGGCGCTCCCAGACAGCTTTGCCCATCAGCCAGGACCGTACCCTGATATAGAAGTCTCCCTGGGGGTTTCCAGCCCGGATCTGGAAGGCGTTATAGGCCCCAGGGTAAACGGAGGTGGCCTGAATCTGGAAGACGTCGGCAGGGACGCTGCGCTCGGACGCAATGCTCATGTAGCGGTGCACGATGGAGGACGGCTGCTCCCGGCACCGAGGGTCGGACGCCGGGCAGAGGCACCGGCTGGAGGACCAGGGAGCAAGCGGTCAGGCCAGGCGGAGCAGAATCCACTCCCCACCCTCCACCCCCTGGGGACCGACAGTTGTGCTCCCTCCAGCCCACCCTAGGGGACCAGAGGTCACCAGACCCGGGATCCCTTCCTGACCCGCCATGGGCCGGGGGCATGGCTGCCCTTCTCAGCTCTGACAAGCCATGTCACCATGCTACGCCTCCCCTCTGGCCCTCCTGCCCCGTGGAGTCTCCTGGCTCCGAGGGAGACGGCTCAAGAGCCATCAGTCACCCATCTCATCCCACGGGCACGGAAGTCCCGGAGGGCAGGACCGGCTTCCTTCTTCTGTTTGAATCCCCACCGCTTAGAGAGCACCTGGCGCTCTCTGCCTCTGCCTCTCCATCTCACCTCCCGGCTCGCGGTCCATAGTCTCTATTCAGCTGGCTCGGGGAAAGCTTGGGGGTGGGGAAGGCACCCAGGCTGCCTGGGCTGGACTCACTTGTCAGACACCTGGACGTACGGCTCCGAGCAGCGGTTGCTCTCCACACAGCGATAACCCCCGTGGAAGTTGACGCAGCTCTGGCCCTCAGAGCACTGGTGGGCGCCGGACTCACACTCGTCTATGTCTGCCAAGGGTGAAAGGTCAGTGGTGGCCTAGAAGCCAGATGCGGACCCCCGAGGTGTCCCTGCTTCCCTAGCCCAGCAGACCTTGACAGAGGCGGGTGCCCAGCAGCTGGTAACCTTGGGGGCAGTGGCAGGAGAATCGGCCTGGCTCGTTGGAGCAGTGATATTGGCAGAGGTAAGTGGAATGTCTGCATTCGTCGATGTCTGCAGAGGATGGACAGAGGAGGGATGGACAGGAAGTCAGGCCTGGGAAGGGCAGGGGAGGTCAGGAAAGGGTCTGCTGGACTGGGGGAACGGGGGAGGTCAGGTGAGGGACTGCTGGACTGGGGGGGGACGAGGGAGGTCAGGTGAGGATCTGTGGGACTTGGGGGCACGGGGCAGGAGGAACAGGACCACGACAGATGGGGCCCTAGAAAGAGCCCCAGAGGCAGGGCCCATCTCCAGGAAGCCTTCCCTGACAGTTCAAGCCCCGCCAGAGCCCTCCATTATTGACTTGACTTAGTTCAAGTACAGGAGGCAGGGAGCTGGCAGCAGAGCTTGGGGTCCATAGATACAGGCAACGGACATTTCCCGAGATCTTGGAGGCCCGCACGGGGTGAGGCCGACATTGGACAACGGCCCACACTCCTAGCCAGCAAGGGGCTGAGGGAGGCAGCTCGAGATGAGGGCCCCCCAGGAGGCCATGGGCAGAGCAGGCCCAGCAGACGTGTGCACTTCATACATGCTTGTTCAATTGAATTGGGCGGGAGTGAAACCTACTGCTCTGTCTGCCCAACACTGGACTGCCTTCTGGGAGACCAGTCCCCTACTGTCTGACCGCAAGACCCTGGACAGATGTCATCCTTTCACTGGGATTCTGGCTTTTTTTTTTTTAATTGACAAAAAGGCCTGGACTCCAAGGGCTCTGAGATTGTTCCAGCTCTGACATTGTATGCTCCAAGATCCCTCCGGTTCTCGTGTTGAAGATGCCACCCAGTTCTCACATTCCATGTTCTAAGGGCTCTCCTGGCCACTCCAGCCCTGACATTCAGCGTTCTAAGGTCCCTCCCAGTGTTGATGTTCTGTGGTCTGAGGGCCCTCCTAGCCCTGCCATTCTCCCTACTGCACTGAGTCCACATCCTGGAGTCAAGCACTATTCCTATCCTGTGTGTCCTCGGGGGCAGGGCCTGGGGCAGAGCCATCACCCAAGGGGGGCCAGTCACCGTTGCAGGAGAAGCCGTCCCGATGCAGTTCATAGCCTTGGTTACAGCGGCAGAGGAAGGTGCCATAGGAGTTGAAGCATCGCTGCTCACAGGGTGCCCCCATCTCACACTCATTCACATCTGGGGGTGGCAGAAGCCAGGGTGGGTACCTCAGTAGCAGGGCCCCAGCCTCCTCCATCCCAATGCAGGCAGTTCGCAGGCTAGGCCGCAGCTGAGAAGGTCAGGCCGCCGGGCTGCCACAGTTCCCTCCTGCCACCCACCCTGGCCGGCCACCCCTTCCCGCAGGCGGTCTCACCTACGCAGGAACGGTTGTTGGGCCCAAGCTGGAAGCCAGGCTCACACTGGCAGGTGAAGGAGCCGGGAACATTAACACAGCGATGCTGGCAGTAGCGGTAGCGACACTCATCTATGTCTGGGGGTCAGAGGTCAGGTGTTGTGGTAGGACAGCAAGCGAAGGAGGTCAGGGTGGGCTTCGGCCCTCGATCATCTCCTTCGGGGGGCAGGAAGTTTCAGGGGTGGGGCTGGGGGGTGAGGAGGGATCTGGGCTTCTGGCGTCTCACTTACCCACGCACTCGGAGCCCACTTTTCTGTAGCCATCAGGGCAGGAGCAGTGGAAGGAGCCAGGCAGGTTGTGGCACTCTTGGCTGGGACGGCAGTCATGGAGGTCAAGGTCGCACTCGTCTATGTCTGGAACCCGGAAAAGCAGGTCAGAGACAGGGTGTGTCCCCAGGGCAGCCGTGGGTCAGAGCACAGGTTGGCCAACGCGGATGGCCGTCCAGTCCGCTAGACCTCGCCCAGCGGAGACCCTCCTTAGACCAGATCACCTCCCTCAAAGCCACTGAGATGTGGGAACACTGCACCATGCTTGCACTCGGCTACAAAACCTCCATCAGGGACACCCATAAAATGAGGGATGACCTCCGAGGCCCTCCCCACTGAATGGTTCTGAGACCCCAAACTCTGCCATTTTCCGGCTTGCAGATAAAGCCCAAAATGTGGCCGGGGCAATGGCCCTCTGGCCCTTTTGTTCTTGACCTCAGACTCATTTTCTTGTCAATCAGGGAGCATTATGGGAACTAAAATGAGCCTTAAACCCAGTGCTGGAGCTCCTGTGATAATCCGGGATTAAGCACAAGGGAAAGGGGATTGTCCAGCCACAACTCAAATAGTTGCCCAAGGCCCAGAACTGGGTGTTTACAGCAGTTCAAAAAAAGAAGAGACTCTCTTAGCCTGGGATAGTAGGCTTTTTTTATTTTTTTTAACTTTCTAGCTAGGCTAGAATAGCTCTCTACTATGCACTGAAGGAGAAGTAGCCCTCCTTTAGGAGGGAGAATTTAATTTCTGCCCCCCAGCAGAAGCGAAGAGAGCGGCAGATGGCCCTGAAGAGGAGGAGCAGAAGGCCAACAGATGGTAGCAGAGAAGAGCTTGGCAGACACAAGAGCAGCAGAGCCCCAGCAAAGAGAGCAGAAGTGTGACGCCCATGGATGGAGAAGGAGGCGGGCGAAGGCGGTAATGGAGGGTGTGACACCCAGAAAAGAGCCACAGAGTCAACTGATAATATTGGAGGATTTCTACAGCGTCGGCAGACGCCGCAAGCAGTCCCGTGGCCTATCCCTCTGTCCCTCCATATGTGTGCCTTGGTCACGTGGGCTCCTGGTGTGTGCCCCTTTACATGTGTGCCCTATGTGTGTCCCCCAGAACGTTTCCCTGGGTCACTGGTGGTCCTTACATGGGCTCTCTCTGGCCAGTAATGGAAAAAACCTGTAAAGGGGAGTACCACAAGTGTGCACAAGGGAAATCTCTTATCACCAGATTTGCTCTTCGCCAATGGCACACAGGTTGCCCAAGCAAAGTAAATGCTCTGGTGGGCCGGCCCACCAAGCACCTCCAGCCTGGAGCAGGCTGTGGGTCCCTGTGTGAGGGGAGCCCTGAGTGCTACATGGGTATGGCAGAGTGGGTATGGAGAGGAGGGAGAGAATGTGGAACTGAAACAAAAAGAATGAAAAAAGTCTCTGCTTAAAAAAATACATAAAAATTTCAAACAACCAAAGTTCAATGAAGAATGCATAGCTCTGACAGCTGCCCCCTAAGCATCTCAAATTCATCATGGAACTGAACTCCCCACTCTCTCCTTACAAACTCCCCGGTTCTAGAAAGGGCAGCACCGCCTTCCAAGCTGCTCACTCCCCCTGGGTAGCTGGGGGCGATCCTTCCAAGTGAGGACAGCCATCCCCGCCCCCCCCCACTCACCCACACAGTTGTCCTGGTCATCAGGCTCATAGCCCTGCGGGCAGGGGTTGGGTCGAGGTGGACCAGGGGCCGGAGGCCTGGGAGGCCTTGGCCGGGGAGGGGGGGCCCCCTCTGAATGGACATCATTGATGACAGCAGCTGAGCGAGGCAGGCACAGGTAGCCCCCGTAGTGGTTGATACACTTCATCTCCCCCTTACATGCATCAGGAATGGTCTCACACTCATTCACATCTGTGGGCAGAGTGGGAGAGGAAGATTGCTGGCCAAGGAGGGGCAGCTCAGAGAGCTCCAGCCAAAAAGAGCCAAGAAGGGAGGGTGCACTCTGACAGCTTTAGGAGGACCACGCCGAGAGATGACCACCCTCCGGGAGGGAGTGGCAGAGGGATGAGGCTGTGACGTGGTCCTCACTTTAGACTGGGGGAATCCGTGAGTCTCCATGCCAAGGCCACCCAGCTAGGAGGGAGCAACCCTGGAGAAATCTAGTCTGTCCCCCTCCACCTCACAGCGGGAGAGGCTGAGGCACTGGATTGGGGGGGGGGCATGGCGAGAGAAAGGCCTTTCCCAGTTCCTCCTGGCTTCTGGCTCGCGGCTCTTCCTACCAGGCCCATGGGGGAGAGCTGGCCCTCCTGGGGCTTGTATTTCTGCATAGGAGCTCCAGGGCTCTTCAGTCTCAGGCTGGAGACTACCTTTGTCTCTTTCACTGCTTGCCTTCTTGAGTACTGACTCAACTCAGGGCTACAAGGGAGGACCCCCCACCAAAGCCTTGAACTCCAGGCCTGTTCACAAGTACCCTGTATATTAGAAATAGCCCCACCTATTCCCTACTGACCGTCCCCACCCCAAGAAATGACCTCATGCTTAGAGAGGTCTGTGACCCCAGGAACGAGGGGATGGCTATCAATGCCTAGTTGTGACTCAGCTTAGGCTGGCAGAGCTGCTCTGGGGCCAGGGAAGTCCAGCTGGCAGCACTGCCCAGGAGGGGACATTCTCCAGGACCCCAAAGAAGTCTGGGGCAGAAGGCCAGAGGACCAGTCAAGGTGCTATCAGCCTGACCTTCGAATCTCTGAGTAATCAGTTGGCTTTGGGGTGAAGCTGTCACAGGCCAGAAAGCACTGACCTGGCCCTGGGCCCAAGTGGCATCAAAACCATCGAAGGGTCATATTGATCTACATGTCTGGTCTTAAGCTCCACTTCCCCATTATGCTGCCTGCTGGACATGGACTCCTGGGTATCCCATCGAATTCTTGAAACCAACGAATCCAAAATGGAACTCATATTTCCCCCCAAACTCATCCCTCCTCCGAACTTCCTTCTGTCTGTTGAGGACGACATCAAGCCAGTCACTGACTTTCACAAACCTGTCTCTTCCCTTTCCTCGAATTAACAAGCCTGGTCGATCCCCTACTTCCCCACTACATCTCCCCTCTGTCCCACTTCTCTCCCTTCAACAGCCACCACTTTATTTTAGGTCCTGCCTCCTAACTGACCTCTCAGACTCCAGGTCTTCTAATCCATCCTCCACACAGATGCCAAAAGTGATGTTTCTAAAGGACAGTCACTTCCCCCCTCAAAAATACTCAATGACTCCCGCGTGCTCCGGGATAAAACAGAAAATGCTCTGCAGTCTGGCTCCCGCCTACCTCTCCCGTCACATTCTCTATTATTCTCCTCCCTTGAGCCAAAGTCATCTAGCGGATGTCCCCCAAACTTGGGCCTTCATCTCCCCTTCTGGGGCTGGACAGGAGCTGTTCTGGCTCTCAGGACTCCTGGCTTCCTCCAAAGCTGAGCCCAAGGGCCGCCTCCTACCGAAGCCTCCCTGGATGTTACTTTATATTACTCCTAAATTCTTCAGAGATACATGGACCTTATCCTTAGATCCTTTCAATTCACTTAATCCCCACTGACTTTTCTTCAGGGTGTAGTGTCTCTATGCGTAACGACTCACTCCATCGGCCGTTAGAATATAAACTCCCTGAGGGCAGGAATTGTGTTGGTTGATCGTGGGCTTTCCCAGTGCCTCACAAGGTAGCAGGTGTTTAATACAAGATTAATTCTATGATGCTTTAAGGTTTGCCAATTGCTTTTCACAAGCACCCAAAAGGTCGGTAGGATTAGAATTCCCCTTTTCCAGACAAAGTAACAGGCTCAGAGAAGTCAAGGGGGTTGCTGTGGCTGAGCAGGGGACACTTGGAGGCTCCTCACTCCGTGAGCCCACCTCGCCTCTCGCATTCTGGTAACATCAGATGAAGGCTCAGGCGCCCTCATCTCAAGCCCCCCACAGCCCTGCAGTGATTGCTGCGTCAGTCTTCTCTCATCGGCTCCCTTTCATGGAAAAGGCAACCGAGGAAGGCAGAGTGAGAAACTGATTGGCCACTGGCCGCTACCTCGGGGACCCTAGACAAGTCACGCCTCTTCTTGCAGCCTCCGTTCTAAGGGGTCTCTAAATGCGGAGGCTGCACTATGTGATGCCAAGCTTCCTTCCCTGGCCAGTAGCAGAGCCTTCATCTTGGAGCCCTCCGAAGCATGCCCTCCATCCTCTCCACCCAGGGGGGAGCTTCCGGGCTCCGGCCCCACCTCGTACTCACCCTTACAGTGCTGACTCTCTGTGTCCCACTCGTAGCCGTCTGTACATTCCTAGAGCAGCAGGAAGGAGGCAAGGTCAGTCTCTAAGCTCTAATTCCGGGTCAGAAGCCTTGGTCACTGGGCTTGGGTGGAGGGATGGGGGGAGGGGGAAAACTCTAGTGTTAAGGTCTGCGAAGTGCTTTGCAAAGACTATCTCATTGGATTCTCCCAAGAACCCTCTAGGTCACGTGCAGTTGTTACCTGCATTTTACAGATGTCAAAACTGAGACACAGAGAGATGGAGAGACTTGCCCAGGGTCACAAAGCCAGCATCAGAGGCACATTCAAACCCAGGTCTTCGCAGCTCCAAGCCCAGCACTTGGTCAGCTATACCAGCTGACCTTAGCGCCTTTGAGCTTGGCTGGGAGATCGTGAGGATCCTCCCCAAATCCTGCCCCTGCCCCTTCCTCCAACCTCATCTCAGGACCCCGTGTGTTTTTTTTCTTGTCTACCCCAGCCCCCTCAGTTTCCTGCTGCCTCTTTCCAACCCCCTCAGGCATGTCACAAGTTCCAGGTTTCCCACCATGTAGCTGTCCGGCTCCTCAGGGTCCTGGGGAGATGCAGTGCCCAGAAGTAACAGCAGCAGTAGCAGCTGCCCTCGGAGAAAGAAGACAAGAGGGGGCATCCTAGAGCCAAGGAAGGAGAGCCCCGCCTCAGCCTCACCTGGACCTGGCTCCGCTGAGGCCTGGAGCCAGTCAGACGCTACCCCTTCGTCCTGCCCCTTCAGCCATGAAGCCACAACTCTCCCTGAGGTCCCAGGCATCCTGCACCCCACCCACACTGCCTCAGTCCCGACTCTCTTCCTCTCACACGAGCCCCAGACGTCCAGCCCTGGCTCTCCCAAGGGAAGCGTGGCCAGTTGCATGCCCACATCCACCAGCCCTTACTCCCTTCCCAGGCCCCAGCCATCTTGCTTCCCTGGACCCAGTTCCCCTTCTGGATGGGGGGGGGACCTTACTTCTAGGCTTCCCTAGCCCCCAGACCAAGCTCTCTCTTCCAGTCCTGGTTCTCCCTTCAAGCCCCAGGCATTTTGTGTGTCTCCTTTCCCCCCAGCCTTCAATGCCCCACGAAGGTTCTTCCCACAGAACCATGATATATCGGGCTCCTAACCTTTCCTCAGAAGTGTGGAGTAATGGTTCCTCGTTCTCCCTTTGGAGCACAGTTTCCTCCACCATCTCTCCCTAGAGGACCAGCTGGTCTGCCCCTCACCACTCCCCAGGCGATTGAGACTCTTATTTGCCCCCTCCCCAGCCTTTCCCATTGAATCCAGGCTGTTCTTCACCCCCCACCCCGACCCAGCTGTTCTGTGTGCCCCCTCCCCCCCCAATTCTTCCCATAGGCCCCAGGCTGCTCTGCCCCTCAGCTCACCCGAAGGAAGTGTGGCTGACCTCCTTTTTGGTCCCCTACTGCCATCTCTCCCCTCGGACCTCAGCCTTGTGCCTTGCAGCTGAAGGCACAGGACCCCTGCTGTCAACCTACACCCCGGCTCCCCCAGGGGAAGTGGGACCGACCCCACTCCTCAGTCCCCCAGCCCCAGGCCTCCCGGAATCATCGTGCCCCTCCTCCCGCAGTTTGGGCTCCAAGAGGGCTGGGGACTCCTAGCCAGGGCCAAGGGAAGGGGGGCTCAGGCTTATCTTCACGTCCCCAAACTTTCCAACTCTCCCCTCCCCCCCCCCATCGGCCATTCCGCTGAGTCGGCAGTTTCCGCTCAGCGGGGGCCCTGGCGTCCGAGCTCCCAGCCCCCCCCCCCGGGCTCGCAACACTTACTTGAGGCTGGAGCGACCCCGAGCCCACCCCCCGCGGCCCCCGGGGCTCCGGGCTGCTCTGAGCCTGTGAGCTTGGCGAGGCTCCGCTCCCTGGACAAGCAGCCCCAGGAAGCGGCCGCCCCCCGCCCCCCAGCCCGCCCCGGACACGACACGGATTCCTGAGCCTGAGCCAGGGGGAGGGACCCGAGCCCGAGCCCGAGTGAGCCCACCGGCGGCCGGCCTCCGCGCAGCCCTGGCTGGCGGCCGCCCCGTCCCGTCCCACCCCGCCCCGCCCAGGCATCTCGGGCTCCGGGAACTGGCCGGCTACGGCCAAAGCCAAGGCCAGGAGCAGGGCCAGGGTGGCCGCCTGCCTCCCAGTCTCCTTCGGGTCCTACTCTCTGAGCTTCTGATGAGCCTGAAGCACGTCTGAGGCCCTCTAACTCCCCAGCCTGGAGCTGAGACACCCAGAGCCCCCCAGTTCCTCCAGGTTAGAACTGACAGAGCCTAGGGCCCCCAATCCTCAGGCCTGCAGTTGAGTCACCCAGAGTTCAGGCTAGAACTGGAATCCCTAAAGCCCCATCCTTTCAGGCTAGAGCAGAAACACCCTGGGGCCCCCAATACCATCACCTTGAACTTGAGATACCCAGAGGCCCCCAATCTCTTGGGCTGACACTATCCCCCATCTCCCAACCTGAAGCTGAGAGATCCTGGTTTCCCCAATTCCCTTGGGCTAGAACAGAAGATCTCTGCTGCCTGCCCTCTCCACACCACCCCCCCCTCTCCACATACCATTCCTAGCTTGAATCTGAGAAATCCTGGCCCCTCCCAATCCCTAACTTTCAGATCCTGGTGCCTCCATCTAAGCCTATAGCCAAGGGGCCTCTGTCTCCCCTGCACTCAGCCTTCCCAGTTGGAACTGAGAGACCTTGTCCTCTTCCCCCTCTCCAAACCTCTCTGAAACAGGAATCAAAGGACCCCAAATCCCTGCATCTGGAGAGGAGAGAGCCTGGCCCCTCCATTCCAAGTTTCAGTTGTAGGCTCCTAGGTTCCCAGATCCAGAGCTGAAAGGGACTTCAGAGGCTGTGGAGCTTGGAGCTGAGACATTCCAGTCCTCTCCAAATACCCCCAGCCTGGAGCTACAGTCGTAATTCCCAACATTCTTGAGCCTGGAGATAAGAGATCCTGATTCTTCTCTCCCAAATCCCCCTAGCCTTGAGTAGATCAACCCTATGCCCTCCAGTGCTCCCAGGCTGCAGCTGAAGGGCCCAGGCCAATCCTATCCCATAGGCATTTAAGAAGCTCCTGCCTGGGCAAGGTACCGCACCTGGCGCTGAGGGCGCAGGGACAAGAAATTTGAACAGGCCCTCTCTTGAGCCTCCTCACTCCATCCCAAGCTTTATACTGAAAGTCCAAGCATCTCTTGACTCTCTGCAGCCCGGGACTAAGCCCTCGATCCCCACCATTTCCCAAACTCAAGCCAAGAGACCCTGGTCCTACGGTTCCCTGAGACTGGAAGTCCAGGACCTCCATTATTCCCCTCCCTTCTTTCCATCCATGGAGCTGAGAGATTCTGGTCCCTCCCCTTGGCCCAGCTTTAGCTAAGGTGCTTGAGCCACCCCTTTCCCCACTCAGGAGCTAAGTGCCTAGTCTGGATTCCTCCCAGTCCCAAGCTTAGACAAAACTTGTTTCCCTGGCTCTGAGAAATCCTGTTCTCTGATATTACCTCAGAGGAGTCAACCATCAGTTCTACAAATGGGATTCTAGGATGGATGATTGATAGACAGACAGACAGACAGGCGGGCAGGCAGGCAGATGATTGGTAGATAGCTGTATAGATAGGAAAATAAATAGATGATATAATTAGATGGGGCGGCTAGGTAGCACCACAGTGGATAGAGTGCTGGGCCTGGAGTCAGTGAGTTCAAATGTGGCCTCAGACACTTACTAGCTGTGTGACCCTGGGCAAGTCACTTCACCCTGTTTGGCCCAGTTTCCTTGTCTGTAAAATGAGCTGGAAAAGGAAATGGCAAACCGCTCCAGTATCTCTGCCAAGAAAACCCCCAGTGGGGTCCTTGAGAGTCAGATAGGACTGCATATCAACCACAAGATAGGGAGATAGATCTTTCCCCCAGTCTGCTGAAATCAATCCCTTGCCAGAAGCTCAGATGCCCTGAGGGTCGACTTCTACCTCTCCTCCCTCCCTTGAGCACATCCAGCCCTTTCTCCTTCCCTCCAACTTACCCCTGCTTTTGCCAGCTGAAATCTTGAGGCTCCAATGGTTTCATGGATGGTTGTGTTAGTTTCAATTGTTTGCATGTCTGAACGTTTGCTTTTGACAATAGTTAATAAGTTTAGCATTTAAAACATTTAAGTCCTGAAGGTCATTCAAGGCCAGGCTCAAGTATCACCTCATAGGATAACAGATTTAGAGCTGGAAGTGATCTCAGAGGCCGTCTAGAGCACCCCCTCCCATTTTCCCCTCCTGGATCACTGCCTGGTCATGGCAGAGGAGCTTGTTATCTCAATGAAATGATGAGCCGAGCCATGTAGCATTGCCCTAGATGGACGGGTCATAGTGGAAGCAGCTGGGCCAAAGCCAAAGGGAAGCTCAGCTCTGGATGCATCTGGTGAAGAAAGTAAAGTCCGAAGCATAGGAACCTGAAAGGTAAGATCTATGAACCAAGGTAAGCTAGATGTGGTCAAACAGGAGATGGAAAGATTAAACATCAACACCTTGGGTTTCAGTGAACATAAGTGGACAGGAATGGGTGAATTTAACTTGAGTAATCACTAAATATACTACTATGGGGGCAAGAGTCCCTTAGAAGAAATGGAGTAGCCCTTGTGGTCAATAAAAGGGAGAGGAAAGCAATACTGGAGTAAAATCTCAAAAATGACTGAACACTCTCTGTTTGAATCCAAGGCAAACTATTTACCATCACAGTAATACAAGTCTATGCTCCAACCACTGATGCCAAAGAGGCCAAAGTTGATCACCTCTACGAAGATCTACAACATCTTCTAGAAATAGCAGTAAAAAAAGGATGTCACATTCATCACAGGGGATAGGAAATCAAAAGATAATTGGAATAGCACACAAGCGTGGCCCTGGAGTACCAAATGAAGCAGGGCAGAGGCTAGTAGAGTTTTGTCAAGACAACTCGTTGGTCAGAGCAAACACTCCTTTTCAACAACCCAAAAAGCCACTCTACACATGGACATCACCAGATGGTCAATATAGAAATCAGATTGATTATGTGCTTTACAGCCAAAGGTGGAGAAGCTCGATACAGTTAGTTAAAACAAGGCTTGGAGCTGACTGTGGCTCAGCCCATGAGCTTCTTACCACAAAATTCAGACTTAAATTGAAAGTAGGGAAAACTATTATTCCATATAGGTGTGACCTAAATACCATCCCTTATGGATATGAAATGGAGGTGATAAATAGTTTTAAGGAATAGATAGAGTGCCTGAAGAACTGTGGACAGAGGCTGACAATATTGTATAGGAAGCAGCAACAAGAACACATTCCAAAGAAAAAGAAGAGCAAGAAAGCAAAATGGCTGTCTGATAAGGTCTTACAAAGAGCTGAGGAAAGAAGGAAAGGGAAAGGGAAAGGAGAAAGGGAAAGATATCCCCATCTGAATGCAGAATTCCAGAAAATAGCAAGTTGAGATACGGTTTTCTTAAATGATCAATGTAAAGAAATAGAGGAAAACCATAGAATGGGAAAGACAAGAGATCTCTTCAAGAAAATTAGAAATATCAAGGGAATGTTTCATGCAAACATAGGCATGATAAAAGACAAAAATGGTAGGGACTTAACAAAAACTGAAGAGTTTAAGAAGAGGTGGCAAGAACATACAAAAGAATTATACAAGAAAAATTTACCATCACTGTTAACCACAATGGTATGGTTACTGATCTAGAGCCAGATATCCTGAAGAAAGAAGTCAAATGGACCTTAGGAGGCATTGCTACTAATAGTGCTAGTGGAGGTGAGGGAATTCCATTTGAGCTACTTAAAATCCTAAGGAAAAAAAAATGATGCTGTTAAATTGTTGCACTCAATATACACCCAACATGGAAAACTCAGCGGTGGATTGGAAAAGATCAGTTTATCCCAATCCTAAAGAAGAGCAATTGCAAAGAATACTCAAATTACCAGTTTTGATCATTTTACATGTCAGCAAGGTTATGCTTCAGATTCAGCAATATGAGAACCAAGAACCACCAGAAGAGCAGGCTGGTTTTTGAAGAGGCAGAGGAACTGGAGACCAAATTGCCAACATTGACAGGATTATGGAGAAAGCAAGAGAGTTCCTGAAAACATCTATTTCTTCTTCATTGACTGCGCTAAAGTCTTTGACTGTGTGGATCACAACAGAATGTGGCAAGTCCTCCAAGAGGTGGGAGTCCCTGATCATCTTACTTACCTCCTGAGGAACCTGTATATGGGCCAAGAAGCAACAGTTAGAATCGAACATGGAATGACTGATTGGTTTAAGATTGAAAAGGAGTGTGACAAGGCTGGGTATTGTCACTTTATTTATTTAACTTGTATGCAGAGAGCATCAAGAAAATGCCAGGCTGGAAGAATCAAAAAGCCAGATTTAAGGTTGTCAGGGGAAATATCAACAATCTCATCTATGTAGATGATACCACTGTGATGACAGAAAGTGAAGGAGAATTAAGAAAAAACAAAGAAAGAAATTAATGCAGGCTATTCACTGGAAGGTCAAATACTGAAGCTGAAGATTAAATACTTTAAATCTTTTTTTACTTTCCCCCCACTTAATAGTATTTTATTTTTTCCAATTACATATAAAGATAGTTTTCAACATTCACTTTTATAAGATTTTGAGTTCCAATTTTTTTTTTGCTTTTGGTTTTTCTTGCTTTTCGGTGAGGCAATCAGGGTTAAGTGATTTGCCCAGAGTCACACAGTTAGTAAGTGTCAAGTGTATGAGGCCAGATTTGAACTCAGGTCCTCCTGACTCTGAGGCCTGAGCTCTATCTACTGTACCATCTACCTGCCCCGAGTTCCAAATTTTTCTCCCTCCCTTCACCCCTCCCTAAGATGGCAAGCAATCTGATATAGGCTATACATGTACAATCATATTAACATATTACTGCATTAGTCATGTTTTGAAAGAAGAATCAGAACAAAAGGGAAAGACCACAAGAAAGAAAAAAAAAAGAGAGAAAATAGGAAGCTTTGTTCTACATTCAGACTCTTTCTCTGGATGTGGACAG